GATATTGCTAATTTTCAGGATCTCATTTTTGGTTTTACTGGTATGGTCCTAGATTATTTATCCTCTAGTGCATTGAAAAGAATAATAAGCTTTGCTGGATGTCCTCTTGGTTTGTGAGTGTGAGGTATATTTTTTTCTTTCTCTTTTCTTTTTTCTTTGCTTTGTTTAATACATAGAGCTGGCACTGTGAAAGAGCTCTGCTCTTCCTGTCTCCATAGAGAGTCACTAGAGGGAGATACCTGACAATGTAGGTGTTGCATTAAAATTTATGTTCTATTTATGAATCTAAAGCTACCAGTGAAGAAGCAATACTACTACATTTTTAAAAGATTGTAAAAATACTCACAGAAGCAGTATATTTTCATTTCATAAACTATTATGAAGACAAGAGAGTGCCCTCTCCTTGTTATAATCCCTACAGTGAACAATACACAAGTGAATGGATTGCCTAACCTGCCATATCTGTCCTTTTCAAGTTTTAATGTAGCTCATACCTGGCATTGCAGGACAAAGTACATGTAAGTTAGTAATTCTGAATGATTTTCAGAGAATGAAATTTTCCATGCTATGAGAATTTTGTGCCTGGTTATCAAAAGTGTCAGACACAAATGGCTGTTAGTCTTGTCACCCATGTCTTGTCACCCATACTGTTTTTTCACCTGACAGTGGCTGCCCCTTTAGTCATCTTAAATGACATTTAGTGCCAGATCTGTGCACTATGTGATTACCTGAAAGATAGGCCAGGCTTGGGCATGTGATCACATTCCTGTTGAATTAGCGGAGTAAGCAATGCTAAGTTCATACTGGATTTATGATTTTGGCTGTCTGTGCAAAAATAGACAATAGCCTCTAGAGTATAAAGCTTTGCAAGTGCAAAGATATTCCATCAAAATGTCTGGGACAAATTTGATCTGACAGAGTGATTTTTATACTAGATCAGTGCTTTGTGTCCTGTTACTGTGACATTATATGGATTTTCTCTGCCACAGAACAAATATCAAACTTGATTTTTTCAATTGGGGAGCAAGGGCCATATTCACTGCTTGAGAATGAAGTTTACAGAAGTCTGGAAGCTGATACAGAGATATCTTAAGCAGTTCTTAACAAACAAATGTCCAGTGCTGAAAGGAGTGAGTAGATGTCTTGGAGGAAGCAATGGAGCTTGATTACACCCCATTCCATGTGCCAAACTTTCTTACCATGTGTTGAGTGTTGCAACTCACCCAGAAGGCTTTCATGGATGGGTAAGTGAGAGTCACTGGCTACATTTTTTTCTCTCCTTTTGTGTAATTTTATTCCTCTTTGTTTATAAATATAATAATGTATGAAATATGGAAAGAGAAATCTGATGCACAGAACAATGAAGAGCAGTAGTGAATTTAAACAGTTTTTGATCTAATTTGAAATTGGCTGTAGGAGTGTTGCCATAACAAAGTGCTCCTTTGCAAACACAATTCAAATGCATGGAAGCAGCCTAATTATAGCACAAAAGTTGATGGCTTTGAAGAGCTAGAATGTCTTTCTGTTCAGAGGTCTGGAACTGAAGACTTCTCTTGCCAGTTTTCACACTGCTGGAAGATTATCTTTCACCATTCGTTCTCGCTATGCTTCCTTGCCTCACGTGGATCATGTTATGGATTGTGAGCCTGATGGCTAAGAGAGGTGCAGCTTCAGGAGGAGGTCATTGATTCAGCACAGCTGTTTTTACTGTCATGAGCTGTGGTGCTGGCATAGATTTTGTGGGGTTTGTTTTTCTGTGATGCTTAAAAAAATCTAAACACACACACACAGAGTTAAAACATTTATAGAAGAGCTGGTGTACTAAACATCTGTTAAATAGAGAAATTGAAGATGGGCCCAAGATAGAAATGTATTTGGGTTGTCTGCTTTCTATCCCTATGCTTTTAGTATAAAAATTCAGTTTGCATTTTGTGCTTAAAGAATGTATGGTTCATTTTGGAAAAATAACCTACCAAATTATTGACTAGATAAACTAGATAATCCACGTTTTGCAGGGCTGGAAAACTAGTTAGTTGGGGAATTTGCCAGGCAGCACAATCTGCAGCGAACTTGAAACAACATAGCATGGTGAAGATACTAGAGATCAGTGTTTTTTAGAGTCTGTTTTACACACACAGTGTTCAAACTGTTTTCTCACAACATTCCTTTGTATTATACGAATTTGTTATTGAAAATTTTGCTTAGTGCTTCCAGGGTAAGTCAAGCACTGGGTTGCTGTGCCCACCCTGTCTTGGTCAGGGTGGCATCATAAATATTCTCCTTTGTAAATCACAAATCAGATATTTTTCAGGGTTATGGTAAGATACTTATTCAGCATTTGTTCTTATGCCCCCATTCAAGTGGATGTTTCTTGACAAAGGGTTTTCTAACCAAAATCTCTCTAACCAGTCACTTATCCATTTCACTATGTCATGTCCTTGAATTTTCTTCTGTCTTTGCAGATGTTCAGTAGGCCTTCTAAATACATGGTGACAGTAGCTATATGAGCTTCAACTTTTTGGGCTTCAACTCAAACCACACCAGTTTTTTTCTAATCTGACACTCTCAGATTTAAAAGAAAAAAACCACTCAATAAATAAAAGTACATGTTGAAAGAAATTGTGTTATCTTTTTTTTGTTTATTTCTGAAACAAACATTGAACCCTAATGGTTCTCCTAATGTCCATGTCCTTTATTTTCCAAAGGAAATACCGCATAGATTTCCCCCTGAGTGTCACACAGAGCTATGATTAAAACTTCAACATTTGATTTATTTCCTAGTTATAAAAGCAAATTATTACATTCCCCTTGTCCACTAATCCAGTAATTTTATCAAAGAAGACAACCAAGTTGCTCAGGCATGATTTACCCTTGGTAAGTCCATGCTGACTGTTCCCAGTCACCATCTCCTCCCCCAGGTCCTCAGAAATACCTTTCAAAGGGACTCACTCCATTATTTTCCCAAGGACTAAAGACAATCTGACCTTTTGTCCTTGTGGCAGCATTTGAAAATCATTGCAACATTTGCCTTTCTTCAGTTGTTGGGAATCTCCCTTTATCTCCAAGACCATTCTGAGAGGACAGAAAGTGGCCTTGCAAAGGTGGTAGCTGGTTCTCTTGATAGCACAGTGGATGGTTCCATGGACTTTTATGGGTCAAGTCCCCTCAAGTAATCCTGCTTTATTCTTACCTGCTCATGACAATTCTCATCCTTGAACTCATTCACGAAGCTTGGAGGAAAGGGAGACATAGTTAGTGAGGAATGGAGCTAAGGAAGCACTGGGTACCTCAGCCTTATCTGCACCTGCTGTCACTGGATTACTGGTCCCACCCAGCAAGCTGCCAATATTTTTATTATTCACCATTTTGCTGTTAATGGGGTGGCTGAAGTTCTTCATGTTGTCCTTGATGTCCTTTACAAACATCAACTATAAGCAAGATTTTGTTTTCCTAACATCATTCTCATGTGGCCAGACAACATTTCTAAATATCTCCTTTGTGTTCTGTCCCTCCTTCAAACTCTTTCGTGTTGCCTTTTCACATTGTAGTCTCCAGGGTTAGCCACTGTCATAATACATCTGCTTGTTTTCTTGAGACCAGGGATAGACTATTCTTATGCATGGAGGTTGCTGTCCTTAGAGGCCTGCAGCTTCCTTGAGCTCCTTGTCTTTTGGATCTGCTCCCATGGGATTCCCACTACCACTTTCCTAAATCTGCTCACCTGGAGCCCATGGTCAGCACTGCTGCTCTCCTTCCTCATCCCCTTTAGGATCTTGGGTTCCACTACCTCATCATCACTTTGTCTGAGTCTGGCACTGACAGCACATCCCCACACAGCTCCTCTTTACCACTGAGCAGGTGTTTCAGCTGTGCATCACCCCCATTAGCTCATGCAGGACTTGTGTCTCTGAAAGTTCCCCCTGACAGCCTCCAGGAACCTTGTTCACTGCTAGCACCTGATGTGTTGCACTTCCAGCAGATGCCATAAATGCTAAAGTCCTAAATAAGAAGCAGGTTTTGTGATCAGAAGCTTCCTTGAATTGCTTAAAGAAGGCTTCATCACCTCCCTCACCCTGAGCTCTGCAATGTGCTCTCACCATAATAATGTCACCCATGTCAAGTGTAGCTTGGTGACTGCACAGGAAGATCTAGTACTTCCCCTTTGCTTCCCAGGCTGCAGCTATGCACACACACCTGAGGCAGCTGTGTCTCGTTGCCACATTTTGCCATTTCTGAGGTTTCATTTTTTCTGTTATGCTACACCTTTTGCTTTAATGACTCTTTACAACAAAATTCCCTTTGTTCCTCTATATAGTAGCAGAGCACTGCATCTTTCCTCCCCACATTTTGCCCACCCTCTCTTTCCTTGTTTCTTGCCCTGTATCTTCCCAAGTACCTGGCATTATGGCTGCAGCTTGAAGTGCTGGTCGCTCAGTGTGCTAAAATAAATGGAGTTGTGATGAGGAGGGGGTGTCTTTTCTCACACCTGAAAAGAGCTAAAGGCTTGGTACTTCATGGAGTTGGAGCTTATCTAGGATTACTTGGAAGGCGCAGGATTAGGTGTGCCACACCATAAAGACCTCCAAAGTCCAAGTATTTGGTTTGTTCTGCCCAGAACTTCTGGTTAGGGTGAGCTGAAGAGGTATTGGTGATGCTTCTGCTGCATGGACCTGTATTATAAATGCTCTTTAAGCAGCAACACTAAGAAATATATCTCTTTTATTAACTGTAAAATTTAAAAAGTGGTATAGCAGCAAGTGCAAAAGTGTCTACATTTCACTGTAAGGGAAATACAATTGTAATAATTTTAATCCTGTTCACCACTGTGGAGGTGAAAATGAGATATGGCTTCAGCACAATTTGATGCTCAAAACCACTCACACATTGCACGTATGCAAACTGCTTGACTGTGAGAAGAGTTGTTCCATGTCCAGGAAAGAAATTAATTGTGAGGTGTCTTTTCTAAGGCCAGTAGGTGCATTCAAATCAAGAAATGTCAGAGAGCCCGGGTCTTGAGTTCTTGTGTTCCATTTTTTTGATATTGTGAATATTTTCTTTTTATGTTTCAGTATTAAGCCCAGTCTGTTAATAGACTTGTCTCAACCTTTTGGATAACTTTGGCAGACACAACTTCCTTCCCAGACTGACCTGACCTGGACACCCACCATGCACAACAGCACCGCCGAAATTCCGCACGCGGCTGAGACGCGTAACGAGACTTGGCCCAGCCAGTCGCCGAGCTCCCAGTTCTCCCTGGGTGTGTTGGTGCTGCTGGCTTTCCTCATGGTGTTGCTGTGTCTGCTGACCATCCTTGGCAACATGCTGGTGATCCTTGCTTTCATTATGGACAGGAACCTCAGGCATCGGAGTAACTATTTCTTTCTGAATCTTGCTGTTTCTGACTTTGCAGTGGGTAAGTGAGAGCTGTGGAGCCATGTGCCAGTTGTGCTGTAGGACTCTTAGGAGAAGCACTGGTGTTTGTTTTCTGTGTGTTTTCTTCTGAGAGAACTGTTTCCCAGCTGTGTCTGGGGAAACGATGGGGAATGGTGGAAGCTGCATGAAGTGTTTTAATAGCCCAATATATCTCAAAATATGTTATAATGAGAAATACATTATTTTTCATACAAATACTTTTAATGTTGCTTCAAAAAAAAAGGAGTGACTATTATATGTGAATACTTCTTGAAGAGGTTGTTTGCTGCAGTTTATGATTTACCATTGTCTTTCCAAATATAAGGTGTTCATCACACACTTCAGAACAGCTGACACATATTTGACAGCTATGTGTGATACATCCAGGTAAATTAATTGCTTCTCTGCATAGTACAAATGGTTTATGAATGTTATTACACTACAGCAAGACACTTTATCACCAGGACTTTTTACTGGCTTCAGCCTAACACAGGCTATTGATCTGATGGGTTGTTTGATACCAGTTTGACACCCTGCTGGCATCCCTCATCTGTATTCCTAATTGGTCCCCTCTCCCCATAGCATCACTGCAGAACTCCAGGGAGTTTGTTGCTGGAGCTGCCATGGATCCAGTCCTGGCTGGTGATGCCAAGTGAGGTGACAGTGGAGTGAATGCCTTTTGCAGGCACTCCTCCATGGCTGAAGCCAGGGAAACAGCCCATGTGGCAGAGAAATCCTGAAAAAACCATAGCTCTGTGGCAGATGTGCCAGCAAATGTCTTGACTTGAGGCTGGCGAGGAGGTACTTCTGCACACAAAGGCTTTTTCTTCAGGATAGTCACAGAGACCAGTATGCACTGAACTGTGAGAAAGGAAATTGTGGCCACAGACGTACTGCACTTCTGACAATACCATCCCCACAAAATGCTGTTCCTTTGTCAGTGCTGTGTAGGGGAAGTGTATTTGTTTGGCCTTTAAGGTTTTCCTTCATTTATACCATTTATAACATGTGTTGCCTTATTCTGGGACTTGCCCCATGGAGCAGAAAATGATGCATATGATGAAGCCTTTGCTTTCCTGCTAAGGCAGACAATTTTCTGGAGCTGCTATTTCATTGCTCAGGTCTTCTGCAAAAGTCTGTTTCTCCTCATATCTCATAGTTCAGTAAAAAGAGTTAAATATCTACCTTCAGCATCTGTTCTTTGAGGCTGGTGCCTCATGCATTCTTAAATCAGCCAAGAGGAAATGATTGCCATCAGTATGAGATTGGCCTATACAGATTGTAAATCTAAGATTTTGTCTCTTTGCAGGAAGTGCTTTATTTTCTGAAATTGCGGTGGGGTTGGTTGTTTTTTTTTAAATTTATTAAAAGTCTGGAATATTTATGGAGATGTGACTCATGTCTTTTACATCCACCAATTAGTAAAAGTAAGAAGAGCTTCAAATATCAATGCTTAAAACCTGGGGTTTGCCTCTATATTTATATGTATAGCTAGAAGCAGTCATTACTTTTTGACATGGTGCCAAACATCGATCCCATTGAAGTTCATGAGAACATTAGCTGTTATCAGCAACCATGAAAAATGAGCATTTAGTACCACAGTGATGCTGCTTGAATTTAAGGAATATGTTAAAATAAGCCATCAGTATTGAAAGTGCTGTGAGCATTTCCCTGTTGATAACAGTCTGGCAGCTCATTGCCCAGAGTTTTATTGTCAGTAGACCACATCACCCTGGATATGTTTAGTAACTTCTAAGATCTTGATGGACTTGTCAAGAAAGGAGCATTCTGGAGAGTTTTAAATGGATCTTGATGCAATATATAATTTTCTATTTGTCTCTGGTAGATCAGCATTTTCAGGAACATAGAATCAGCTATTGTACCACACTTTTGAAATAATGTTAGTGTTAAATGAAGAAGTTTCTTGCTTAAAAATAAAACACAAACATGATTTTCTTAATGAAGTACTTCACTGGAAAGTCTTTTGGACAAAACACAAATTTAACAAACCAAAATAGTTCTGTAGTTATTCTCAAGTAGAGAAGAAGCATGAGATTAAAACACTCCTTAAAAATGAGAGGTTCATACTTCTGCTGTGTCTGCTCTATCTCTGGTAGAACACCACACAGACTGCCCAATATGTTGTCTTCAGTTTACAAATGCTAACCAATTTTGCAGGAATAACTGCCATTGGCAACACCTGCAGATGTGTTTGAGGGAAAATTCTAATACAGATGAAAGAATAGAGGAAACAAAATGATGAGGTTACCTATCAGAATGCAACCACAGTGCATATATGCTGCAGCACTAATTTTATACCTTTAGAGTCTAAGTTGGTTAAACTTGGATTTTCTTTCTCAGTAAATCCTTCTTTGCTGAATTGCTTTCAGTTTATTCTCAGCAATCAGCATACATAAATCACACTAAGATCTAAGTCATAGAAAGTCACCATCAGATTCAATGAGAATTTTAGAACATATGTATATAAATTACATACTCACCTTTATAGATTTGTTGATTTTTTTAACCCAGATACCAAAACAGTGTGTCTCTCTTCTTCCAGGAGTTTGCAGTCCCTATGAACCTCATGGTGTTTTTGTGGTTGCTGTCTGCAGGTGTGTTCTGCATGCCCCTCTACATCCCTTACAGCCTGACAGGGAAATGGCACTTGGGAAGAGGCATCTGCAAGCTCTGGCTGGTCATGGACTATCTCCTCTGCACAGCTTCAGTGTTTAACATTGTTCTTATCAGCTATGACCGTTTCCTGTCAGTTACAAAAGCTGTAAGTAACCTGTTTAGAGCTTCTCTGATTCTTTTCCTTGGATGGTTATGTTCACCACCTTTTGCCATGCTGATGAGTATAAGCCCAAATTTAATGAAGTAACACCCCTCAAAAATATACTGGCATGTGGTGATTATTAGATATTTTGTAGCCAGATGGGGTGAATGCTCTACATTGGGCATGCTTCACTGCAGAGCCAGTCAACCAGGAGTTTTCTCACAATTTCTGCTGCAAGCTGCTGTCATGTTACTGCCTGAGGAAAAGTAGTCTAGGGAGTAAAAAGGGTAAGAAAGCCGACTGGTAAAAACAGGGCAGGGAAAGAGGAAATTCAGAGTAAACTGGATTTGGGTTTGGACCTAAAATCAGGCATGAAAGTTAAATACAGTGGAGCTAGGGCAGTAAAATAAAGGACACTGGGGAGGGTGTCTAGACCTGAGATGTGGTCAAAACTGATTCTGGATAAGACCAGGAGCAAGAGCAAACAGGCAGAAAGTGGAACAAAGGGCAGACTGCAATCACTACCTCTAGATATGCAGCAATAAACTCCTCTTTGTGTCTGGAGAAGAATCCCAAACTTCAGACACATTCTGTCTCTGCTTTCTGCAGAGAATCCTGCATACCTGGTGTGAGCTTTATGTCTTGGGCCATGCTAGGGGTGGAGGCCAGCATTTCTCACCAGCCACTGTTAGCTCAGGTGGCAGGGGATATCACAGAGAACTAAAGGTTCCAGCTCTTTTCTGTGTATGAGACTGTCAACAAAACTTCATGCAATAGAATTTCAGTCTTATTTGTGGTGATTAATTTAACTTCATGTAACTGCCTTCTTATTTTATTTTATTTTATTTTATTTTATTTTATTTTATTTTATTTTATTTTATTTTATTTTATTTTATTTCATTTCATTTCATTTCATTATTTATTTTATTTATTTAAGGAAAAAATCTTGGAAATCAAACACCAAAGTTTTTGGTGTGTAAGAAACTTTACGCTGGAAAGCCAAAGACACAGCATTTACAAATTGCAAAATTCACGGCACCTCTACAAATGCAATTATGACCTATGGACATTTCTATGATAGTTCTAGTGACATTAACTCAAACTTTTGTTATCAATTGGATGTCTAAGGTTGCAGAATTACACATTCCTCCTGTGAAAGGGATGAAGCAGGATGTGAGCCACATTGTATCTATATGTTCTACAACATATAGTGGAAAATAGGTATTGGCCCTGGAGTGGATGTAGAAGGAAGAAAATGGGTGATTTTTTTTAGTTTCATCAGCTAAGGGCTGTGGGGCAGGTGTGGTATCTATTCCTTCATCCTTATGAATTGTCTAGCAAGTAATTTTCTTATAGGTTAGATCTATGTGCCACCTTTTCTGTTGAGAACTGTGATACATACTGTTATTTGTTTGTAAAATGCTGTAAAAAGCAGTGCAGTTTCCAGTAGTGGGATTCATGCTCCCCAACAGCTATAAAGTGCTAATTCCTCTGGAACTTCAGGCCATAAGTGTGTCAAACAAGGCATACCAAATTACTAGGCACTGATGGATGACCATGTTTCATCCCCTGGACCTGTACCCTGACATTAACAGTGTCAGGACCCTAATATTACAGTGACATTAACTTGTAGAGAGACAACCCTAAGCTCTGTCAGCATCAATGAAATGAACGTGCTTGGGTGAGCTTCAGCTGATCAGCACAGCCACATCTCTGTATTACCAAGCACCTCTTGAGTTCGTCTCTGGCTGCTTCTCTTAGTCCCAAAATGGGGTCTCAACAAGTCTGAACTTTTAATGGTTTTTTTCCCCTCACAGATATCTTACAGAGCCCAGCAGGGAATAACATCCAACCCTGCCATCAAGATGGTGGCCATCTGGCTACTTGCCTTCCTCCTGTACTGCCCAGCCATCCTGTTTTGGGAGCATGTGGCCGGACACAGCGTGGTACCGGTGGATCAGTGCTACGCCGAGTTCTTCTACAACTGGTACTTCCTCCTGTGTGCATCCACCCTGGAGTTCTTTGTGCCCCTGCTCCTGGTGACCTACTTCAACGTGCACATCTTCCACAACATCCAGCGGCGGCAGCGGCGCGGCAGCGTGCAGGACGGTGAGCCTCCCAGGAGCAGCAGCCTGTCCTGGATGTTCTGTGGCTTGCCAAGGCCAGGGGCATCATCTCCTTCATCAGAAGCAGAGGACAGTGTTTCTTCTTCCATGAGACCAAAGAAAGAGTCTTTGGGAACTGACTGCTCATCTCCACCCACAGACAATTCTGTAATCCCAGGAAATGACTTTTCTGCTTCTTTCTGTGCAAAGACCAGATCAAAACTGCAATGGGACAAGAAAATAGCGAAGTCTCTTGCCATAATTGTCTGTGTGTTTGCCATTTGCTGGGCCCCATACTCTTTATTAATGATTATCCGTGGGCCCTGCCAGGGAACTTGTGTCCATAACTTCCTGTATGAAGCAACCTTTTGGCTTTTGTGGATCAATTCTTCATTGAACCCATTTCTTTATCCTCTCTGTCATGTTAAATTTCAAATGGCTTTTCTGAAGATATTATGTCCCAAAAAGTTTGCAACATTGAGATCAGGTTCTTTTTAGAGGTCCAAGAGGAGCTGGATGAGGGATGTAGATAGCCATTGTTTGAAATTAGATTTTGTCTTTTCCAGGAGATTAAACTAGTTGGAGAATTTAAATAAGCCTTCTGTGAAATGTCCTCCTGCAGACAAATGTGCATGGCCAAGGTTTGGGTACTTTTCCCAGCTATTTGAATTGGTCAGTTAAAGGCTATTGCCTCTGTCTGACTTTCCCAAGTAGTCTATCCACATTATCTTAATTTTGATTGCTGAAAATGTTATCTTCAATTGCAGTACCTCTTATATTTGTGTTCACAGGTGATAATAAAGTAAAAAACACAATAAAGTTGTATATTACCCTTAGGGTCAATAGTGTTCTAAAGTTGCTATCTTCTCTGTTCTATTTATTTTGAACAATTTGCATTCAGAACCTGATTTTTGTCTATATGAAACACCCAATGAAGTTATGATTTTTGTTGCCAGGCACATAGCAGGATTAATTCCTTTCACTAAAGGTTTTTGGGCATCAGAAGCAAATAGGAGCTGCTTTCAAAAACCTGGATGTATGTGTTCTCTGCAGAAGGGCATTGCTCACTATCTTTGCTCAGATGCAAGCAGTAGAGAATTCAGGTGTGTAAAGCATTTATGTGGATGTCCAACTATTCTGCAAGAAACCAGCCTTCTTCAGATGTAGTTTTGAGAGATCACAGAAAGAGAAGTGTTTGTTCTTACTCCTTGGGGGGAAAAATCCAATTCTGTTTCTGTTACAAGCCCCCAGCTGGAGGCTGTGATAAATGGTATATTTCTTACACACTGTGTAAGGCTGTGTTTGTTTTTCTGCATGAGCCAGGAAAATGGCTGGCCTGGATGCTGCCTGTAGTATGTGTGGTGAGAGCTGAGACAGCTTGGAGGTGATCTTCTTTCAATACACACTTTCCATACTGTTAAGGACTATTTACTTGTATGGCTCTGGAACTACCAGGTATTAACTTCCTTAATAAATAAACAGGTGTAACTTTAAAATGTAAATAATTTCTTTTCATCACATGGTCAGTAAGTATAAGTCTAGGAAATAAATGGAATAATGAAAACTAAAGAAATGTGAGAGGTATTTGGTGTCCATTTTATCTTCTGGGTTTTTTTTGGTGTATATTCATATTGTATATTAGTATATTTTACTTAACAGTTTTCTGAATGTTCTTCTAGGCTGAACTACTATTTAATCACCATTATATGTTTTGTTATGCTATATGATAATTTATACTCTTCTACTTATACAAATTAAACATGTATTCAGCAATGTAAAAAGTAATGTCTCTCAAATATGAGATGAGAACTCTAATATTCAATACAAACTGCTCTGAAGAGCGGCTTTTTGCATTTGTTTTAAGATTTTGGCCAGTGAGTTGGGCTTGTAATTACTGCTAGAAGTCAGCACTTGTGCATCTCCAAAGCATGTCAGAACACAAAACACAAGCGCCACTACACCCACCTGTTTTCTTTAAGTGCAGCTTGTACCAATCTTGCACCTGCAAAGATTTTGTCATTCTTTTAAAATACAACTTGTAAAGTCAGTAGCATTGAGCACGTGCAAACAGATCCTTCTGTGTCAGCTTTTAGAGCAAATCCTCCTTAAAGTTTATAAGACATACTTTTTGACTGTGTCAGCAATACAGAGTTAAAGATTTCATTCTGGTTAGCTTATCAAAAAGATATTTTTGAAATTTAGCTATTTCCATATGTAGATAAGAACACATAATCTTATATCTATGATGTGTTACTTTTTTTCTGTTCTTCCTCTTCCTTGCTCACATCTTTTGCTTTCTTCTCGCACCAGCCTGGTCTCTGCCACAGCTCTTTGTTCAGGCTACAAGAGCTGAGTGCTGGCATCAGCAGAGATTTATTCATAAACTGACCAAAGCCTTATGAATGCTGCAGCAGGGCCCTCTGCAAAGCCAAGGTTAGTTGATACAAGATATGGAGGACAGGCTTAGGTGCTTTGAGGGGCAGTGAAACACCTGATTCTGCCTCCATCTGGGCTGAGTTGACATGTTAGAAGTTGTCAGAATAAACACTCCAACAGGACTGTGCTTCTAGGTGAAACTTGGTTTTAGAGGCATGGGCAGACATATCAGTAGTACCTCTGGCTTACTTTTGTCAGCTTTTGCAACTGTACTGGGAAATAAGTTGTGAATCTAGTTGGTCTTGTCTCCCTCACTTTTCCTGAGCTACTGGTAGTAGGATAGAGTAGTCAGAAAGGAGCTGGTGGGAGAGCAAAATGGACTTTGTTTAGGTGAGGGGCTAGATTAGTCTCTTTATTCTTCTGATGGAGATATTATTTCCAGCAGAGAAAGGCCCAGAATCATAGCATTGATGCTATGGTTTGGGTTGGAAGGGACCTTTAGGATCATCTGTACGTGGCTAGGGACACCTTCCACTAGACTGGGTTGCTCAAAGCCCCATCCAACCTGGCCTTGCACACTCCCAGGGATGGGATGGGGCATCCACAACTTCTCCGGACAACCCATGTCAGTGCCTCACCACCCCTCAATTTATTCCAAATATCTAACCTAAACCTGCCCTCCTTCAGTTTAAAGCCATTGTTTCTTGTCCTATCACCACATGCCCTTATAAAAAGTCTGTCTCCAGCTCTCTTGTAGCCCCCTTTAGGTACTGGAAGTCTGTTTCATGGTCTCTCTGGAGCTGAACAACCTTCTCCAGGCTGAACAACCCCAACACACTCAGTCTGTCTTCATAGGAAATGTTTTCCAGTCCTCTGATCATCTTTGTATCCCTCCTATGGACCTGCTTCAACAGGTCAATATCCTTCTTATGTCGGGGACCCCAGAGCTGGATACTGAACTCCAGGTGGGGTCTCACAAGATCTCTGTACCTTGTACCCCTTGCCTTTCATCCAGGCCGTGTAAACACTTGGAATTGCCAGGGGAAGGGTTTAGACAAAGAAGACTCTTGTGGACAGTGAGTCCTAGTGGGAGTTGCACAAGTAATCTGCATTACTGACCTAAGGGATGCTTTCATGCTGATGGCATGAGGTTCTTCCTATGCCTGCTCTGAGCCCATGGTCAGTGCAGGTCCTGCAAGCCACGGCTGGGACCCACGCAGATGAAAGGCATCAGTAAGGCTGATGGTTAGAGGGAAAATCTGATACCACTGTCAGATGCAGATTTCACTCCTCCCTTGGACTGATAAAACCATAAAACAACCCAAAATTCAGATGTGCACCTAAGACCAAAATCAAAAGTTGGGTAAAATACGGTGCCATGCTTTTTAGGAGGAATTTGTCTGGACCTTGGAGAGGTGCCTTTTTAGTTTCATTCATGAACATCACCTTAGTCCTTCATGAAAAAAATCTTATTTGGGCTCTGACAAAAAGAAGTCATGCAGCACCTGTTGCTGAGAAAGCTAAGTCAAGAGCAATTAAGTCTTACTCTGTGTGAGGGCCTTGTGGGCACCCAATAGGACTTAACTGCCATGGCTTGACCTCCCCTGGACCTTACATCAGCTTTGGGCCTAAGAGCATCATTAAACTGGGCTGGTCCTCTCCTGAGATACATGAATGCTTTTAGGCTGTTCTGAGCACTGTCTTCCGCATTTTTTTAAGTCTTAACTAACCTGCTGAGATTGGCCTTGGACCCAGCTTGTCACCTTGTGTTTTGCCATGTTCTGCCCCGGCCATACCTGGGGAACTGAAGCCATCCACAGCAGCATAGTGTGTCTTAATCACTCATCTCTCAGAAAGAAACCACACCAGTGGGTCATATCTAATCTGATCAAGGACTCCTTAGGAGTTCTCAGTTCTGCCTGTAAAGGATCTCTTGCCTTCTTCCCTCCAGAAAATTCCAGATCCAACTCTTTACCTTTTTTTTATTTTTACCAGTGCTATCCTAATATTTTATCATTATATCAATCTTCCCTTCACTTGTATCATTCAGTGCTGCATTCCTTTTCCTTGCAGACTCACCACATTTTTTGTATTTCCTGTATTACCAGATTTCCCATTTTGCAACAGGTAGTTCATGTTCCTCCATGCTGTGTATTATCGATAGATCTGCTGACACATATTTCTCTGTTCCTTGCTCAACAGTTCTCCAGTCATATTGATGCAGATTTTTCACAAAACATAAAAGAGATTTTAAGCCAAGAAATGCAAAAAATTAATCCAGAACAGGATTTTTTCCTTTCCTTTTTTTTCCTTTGATTTTGTTTTCAACTTGCAGGCATCTATTTTAAACACAATGTTTTAGTAGCAGTGTTAATGAAGTGCATTAGAAGCAGCTTTCCTAGTGTAAATAGGGTAAACTGGCATAAAGTGGAGTGGCTGGATTTTTGTGTGGCAAAAGTGGAACAGCATCATGTAATGAGGTGAAATTCAATTTTTTATTGTGCAAACGGGGAAGTGGAAAAAGCAGATTTTTGTATGTCACTGGTAATCAATAGGTACTGTTCTCTGAAGACTTTCCCCTTCTAGCCCCTTTTTTTGGTGATCTAGCTACTATACTTCAAGCTGGATCAAACTTTCTTGCCTTTAAATGTTGGCACAGTGCTCTGATCTTCGCTTGCGTGTATACTTGTTCATTTACTTTCTCTCCTTGCTAAACAACTCTGCCCAAAATTTTTATCTTAAATATTCCCGAGTAGGCTTTAGTATGCCTGGAAGGCAGGCACTGTGGGTACATCCTTACAATAGCTTCTCAGAGAAGCCTCATTTCGGCATTTTTTTCCTGTTGCTGTTCCAACCAGCATGTTCCTGCAGGTGTCACTGGTGCTACACGGTTTCTTTAAACCTTGTAAATCCGTGGGTTTTTCAAAAGGTGCCATTTATGTGCACAATCCTACATGATATGACACCTTTCTGCTAGCACCTTTCTGCTAAAACTGCCACCAGATCTGCTGTATTACATCTAATATTTACTCTGCTGCAGGAAAGATTAGGGGAAGGGCTTATCACCTTGGCAAAGAAAGGAAGACTTTAGTCACACAGATAATCATAAGTCAGCACAGAACTTCTTTCTAAGTTGCTCTG